CGGAGTGCAAGAACCCGGACACACATTGGCTCGAGCCACAAGTCCTGTGATCTGACCTGACCTGACCTATCCTGTCCTGTCCTGTTTTTGTTTAGCGAAGTAGATGCCTTGCACTCTCTTGATTTGAAGGTCGTCGCCAGATTTTTTCATCGCTCGGCAACCGCCTGCCAACGTCGTGATGTTTTACAAACCTGAGGAAATCGAAGCAGTCAGTGTACCGCAAATAGAAAATTTGTTCAAGCTAGACTCGTGGCTCGAACCCTATCGCTATGAAATTAAACGCAGGTCGGTTGGCGTGAAATTTTCACGTGAAAGTTTTATGTGTGTAGTGCGTTCTAATTTAGTTGTTGTGATCAGGTCACAGGTCACATTACTCGCTTTTCATCTGATTAGTTAGAAATTCATTCTCGTTAAGCACAATTATGCTGAAACAACCGTGGTCTTTCATTTGTGACGATATTTGACCATATATGTAGTTAAATATATATAAGTATATAAATATATAAATTAATATTTTTCATCTGCAGATATTAAATAATATTCTTATGAAAAATCGAAATAAGGAATCATTCAATTCGGATGGCTTAATTGAACATAATGAATGATATTCATTCGTACCCCCGCAAATGCAAATAACGAGGCCTTCGCAAAACCTGAACTTTCGTTGGCTGTAAATGTTCTGACTTCTTATGAAGGCAAGGCAAAATATTTTACCCTGAGATGTTGAAAGTTCGATGGTTATAACCTATAGCTCAGGTCAGGTTACACAGAACGGTAAAGGCTTGTGCTAAGCCAGGTTCCAGATTCTTGCTCTAGCCGGAACCAATTGGTTCTCAGGGCTTTATGGTTCTGCTTGAGATTCGATATCTTGTCGACCGATAACCACAACCGATTACTCCAGAATAGCCTCCGTCTTCGACTCCTTTTTTGCAAACGGAGATACTTCAGGTTAAGTATCTATATTTTGCACATGGAATGCTTATCCATGAACGTTATTGGAATTGGCAATAAAATGCAGAATTCACTCCGAGCTGATCTTCAATCAGGTCTACCTTACTTATAGCCTAAGTTATAGATAGGCGGGGCATTATATGTTTCGCTGATACCAGTTTGACTTTACTTAATCGTGTTCTGCTTATTTAAATCATCTGGCAGTTAGTAGATGACTTCCGTTAAAAAGTTTGCACTTTAGTGGTAAACAAATTTGTTTTCGCTCAATTCAATGCCACGCCTGACTTAGTGGGGCCTTGTGTGGTTCGCCACTCCAAGTCCCAAGGTTACCTGTTACCATCACTCAACAGCAGGTCTTCCACAACAGCAGGGATTCCACCCCGTCTGCTGTCCATCACACCGGGTTTTATAAAAAAAAATTCGGCCAAACGTTGCCAGAAACGGTATTTTCTAACCACATTTTCAGAGTGGTCATTGAGGGGTGCGATTTCAACGTATATGAGACAGAATGTTCGTCAGAAGTAATATACAAATTGACTTATCTGTCGTTGATTACCCAAATAGCACACTGGTTATTTTTATCAAATGATCACGTCCTTCAATCTCTGAAAGCAGGTTAAAGCCTACTTAATGGCTCTCAGTTTATTTCCCTAATTAAACTGCGTTGTCTATAGTGAGTAAACTTTCTTCGTGATTCGTACCATTAACACAACACAATGTCACCTCGTTTACTTAACTAATCCCTACTTAGTCTTCAGGGAAAATTATTCCCCTATTTTTGTGCATCTCTAGGTGGCTAAATCTAATTCTAACACTTAGTTGAGTAAAGATTTCTGTCTTGATCCTTTCTTACCTGATTTCATCTCTCCCAATTGATTTATACTCAGCAACGGAAACCGGTAATCAAAGCCTTGAGGCTTGGAGTGGCAAACCGTGGAAGACCCCGCTAAGTTCGGCGTGGTATTGAACCGGACGTCAGAAAAGCTGCTTACCGTCAAAGTTCGGCGATGGTGGCGGGGTTCGAACCTCGGACCATAGGGTCCTAAGCACACCGTTGACAACTAGTTAACCAATGCACCACCACTAGCTTGAAATATCAGTTCGGGTGATTGTTTACTAAACAAATCAAATCTATTCCAATCCCGCATCCTGTTTGTTGTGTTATATGCAGAAAGTCCAGCGTCTGCGTATACAAATTTTTCCTTTACCGTTGACAAACTGATCATCTTGAATGTTGTTCCGCCTGATGGTATAGGTATTGGCTCCGGGCTTCAACCCATACATAGAGAAAATGTCCTATACTCACTTGATTTCTCCACAGCTTTGCTGTCGTCCAGTTCAATATCACGCCTGACCGAATGGAGCCTTGCGTTGTTCCCCGCACCAAGTCCCGAGGCTTAGGTTTCTGGTTTCCACCATTGGACAGCAGGTCTTCACAACTACGGGATTAATTCTGTTTGCTGTTCATTACTCAAATGTGTGTAATAAAAATACATCCAGAAAGCACTCTCCTAGTTATGTTGCATGTTGAATAATTTTTCATACATGTTATATGTTTCTGACAATCACCTTTGGTAAGAGATCTGTTTACGCTGGCAAATGGCTTTGTTCCTGTCACTCAACGTATTTCGACCAACATGCCTTGATTCTTTTCGTAAGTTCGTCATAATGCTTTGGTTGGTAATGCAGTTCTACAGAACAATCAAAGATTTTAGCATTGTTAAGAGCGAAGCTTCCATTTTATACTTATTTTGTCCTCATTTTCGGGCTGATCACAGATACAAATGCTTCCTCGATCACCTCAACTGGATTAAAAGTGTTGGCGGTTTGGAGCAGTTTACTCAGGGTTACAAGGAGTTTGGCATGAACGTGCATCCGGATGGGACAATATACTGCAAGGAATGGGCACCGGGTGCAAAAGAGCTTTATCTTCGAGGCGACTTTAGTGAGTACTCTTTCCTTTTTGGCTTATTGTTAATAGACGACTGGAAGGAGTTCACACATCCATTTAAAAATATTGGTTTTGGGAAGTGGGAGCTGATAATCCCACCTAAACTTGGTGCTCCTGCGATCCCACATTTGTCTATTGTCAAGGTAAGGTATCTGTTGCTAATATTGTTAAACGTAATTCAGCTCCTTGTCGTAACCCACGATGGACGCCGGTTGGACCGTTTGAGTCCCTGGGCCCCGTACGTAGTTTGTCTGAACGAGAGTAAAGTATATGATCAGGTTATGTATAACCCACCACAGGTAAGCTTTTTGATGGCTTNGCTTTTATACCTGTTCCTGACAGAAATATCAAATGAAATATCCCCATCCGCCACGGCCGAAAAGTTTGCGGATTTATGAATGTCATGTCGGAATTTCATCCTCGGAGCCGAAAGTGGCTTCTTATACCTATTTCAAAGATAATGTTCTACCAAGAATCAAAGATTTGGGTAAGTGTTTACTATATTGAAGCCGGTTTAGCACTGCAAAACATTGAAATTGCGACAACTCATATATAGCATAACTGTAAGGTATTATTCTTGCTGTCACGTTTCTATCGCTAAGTTTTCCAAATGTTGTATTCGAAAAGCCTCACTATGGTCGGGGGTGGGTTTCTAGTGTTGTGGCTGGTCACCCTGTCCTTGCACCCCACAAAATACTCTCCTACGACCAAACGTCTCAGATAGCCTCTGCTGAGGAAGCCCTACTTACTGCCTTCTCGTGGCGGTGTTTTCCCACCAAAGTGAGAGGATGAAAAGCCGACATCCGGGCTTTAACCGAGTTGGTGGACCACTGGTAGTTCACCTAGGGGAGTTGGCCCAAAACCCTAATTCCAAACCAACCATGAGGATGCGTACGAACCACACCCGCACCTTTTCGCTTGTGGCAATGGTCACCGGCTTGATTGGGCAGCGGCGTTTATTGGGCACCTTGGACGTTTTACTCCCTCCAAAGGGCTTTGGCTAGTCGAAGGCTCCGATTGTGAATTCCTCAGGAAAATTCTCCTACCTTGGCCTGGGTAACCTGGCAGTATTCAGCCCCACAAGCCAATAATGGAATGTTTTTTTTTCTTTTTTTCATTAAGATTTTTGTACCATGATTTGCCTGGCACAGTCTGTCGTCAGACAAATGTGAAATATAATAATAGTAATAGTAATAATCCCGATAGTTTGTGGCACGTTCGGTTAGCCCCAGAAAAAGTCACTGAATGTAATCCTATGATCCTTTAATTGCTAAATCGTAAGCAAACAAAAGATCAATGTGTTAGATTTCAATGGGAATTTGTCATGTCATCAAAGTCTGATGTGCTTTTATGCCGCATTTCAGGATACAACTCTATACAGCTCATGGCTGTTATGGAGCACGCCTACTATGCCTCTTTTGGATATCAGGTTACCAGTTTCTTTGCCGCCTCGAGGTAAGTTGGCCATTTCATGAATGACTATTTAACTGGTTTACCGTTTCACTTCACTTATTTTACGACAAATTCAATCTTGTTTTTCAGTCGCTACGGAACTCCAGAAGAGTTGAAAGCTATGATTGATGAGGCTCACCGCTTAGGATTGGTTGTTCTTCTCGATGTAGTTCATAGCCACGCATCCAAGAATACCAACGACGGATTGAACCAATTTGATGGCACAGATGCGTGCTACTTCCACGACCGTGGTCGCGGTGTGCACGAATTGTGGGACTCGCGGTTGTTCAACTATACCGAGTGAGTTTGTTTATGCATATCCTTGCTTTTAGTGAATATACTTGAACATTTTCCCTTCCGTTTCCGAAGAACACCACTTTATAACGCGAATTCGCGGAATGCAACCTATTTTTATTCAACCGCTCATTGGTTGACGAACGTTGCACTACATTTTGGCCAACGAAGCGCTTTAACACTTATGGGAAACCGATTGTTATTTGGTTAGCCTTTAATGCGTCTGAGACCAAATGACAGTACGATAATCTTAATAACAAAGATAAAAATCCATGGATTGTTAGTGGGCGAAATACTACCAAGTTGCTTTAGTCAGAGCAGGTGAATTTTCTTCGGGAGTTCACACCCGGAGCTTTCATCTAGCTAAAGCCAAACCCACAAGACAGCAGAACTATTTGTAAAAGCCGCAATCTATTGGCACCGGTGTCCAGTTGACCAAAGGATGCGCCCTCTGGAAGGCGAACAAACATCAGCCAATCAGGTAACGTCACATCTCTACATAACTCAACGACCTATGTAAGGAAAGGGACACTCGTAAGCGCTCACCCAGTTACTGCATTGAAAGGTCACCTCGATTGGTGATGAAACGTTTGCAGTACAATTGCCAAGCTCGGCGAACAATTGAACACCAAGTTATACTACCCGAGCTACAAAAACAACAATCAACACCGTTGTTTACAAAAGTGTCATATATATATGCATGATTAATGGTAGTTCAAACTAAAAACTGGGTGTGCGGTTTGTATGCCTCTTCTTGGTTGATTTGGTCTCAGGTTTTTTTGCCAACTCTGACCCAGTGATAGCCTCATATGTTTGCCTTTCGTCCTATCTCTTTGATAAGAAAACACTACCACCAGAAGGCAATGAGTTGGGCATCCTTAGCAGAGATTATTTGAGACGCTTGGTCGTGTAGGAGCATTTCTCGAGGTGCGATAGATGAGTGACCTGTCACAACTCAGACGCCCACCCCCGATCATACTTAGTCTTTCGGAGTCGTGACTGCTCTGCGAAATCATCTGATGCAGACTGGGGCACTCGGTAAACCGGCCTCAGATGAAAGTGTATTTCATAACTGTACCAATAATGAGCGTTTTTCTTGAACTTATCTGTTTATATCCGGAATCAGACCTGATGGATGTATCCGATTCTGAGCTCTTTCTTAGAATAAAAATAAGATGTCAGTAACTAAGGTGACCAAATTAATTGTTAGATACTGTTACTGATTTTTCGGTCACTGCTAGCGGTGTATTGATGGTTACTACTTTTACATGCTGCTGTGAGAAACGTTGTACTGATCACTATACAGTTGAATAGAGGAAGAAAGCTAATAAGTGACATTAAAGACGACAGTTAAAAATTCCCAGACGACCCTAGCGACTGTAATTGTTAGTCGAATATTCTTAGGAAAACGGTTGAAAATGATACAACACCGGTTGTCTTTCAGAACTTCCATTATGAATCATCACACCTACTAATATGTAATCATATATTATTTAATAATTTTATGCTGAAACGAGTCATTGAAGAGCTGAGAATGTACACGGTCGGTTTGGTTTCTAATGTTCGTTCCTTTAACTAGGTTAGAAGTTTTGCGTTTCCTCATGTCCAATCTACGTTGGTGGATCGAGGAGTACGGTTTTGACGGATTTCGTTTTGATGGTGTGATGTCCATGCTGTATCATCATCACGGTCTGATGACTTCATTTNGATGACTTCATTTTCTGGTCATTATGGAGAATACTTCGGATTATCGGTGGACACGGAATCTCTCACTTACCTGATGCTAGCCAATCACTTCTTGCATGAAAAATATCCTTTCGTTATCACCATTGCGGAGGTAAATTAGTTATACTTTATTTGGTTATAGTTTTGCATACTGGTCGTACTAGCTATTAATCTTATGACCATTGTCAAAACAAGTATATTGCCTATTCACCTTTTTTATCCGTAATTTGCAGCAGCGACCACCAAGGTTTGCTGCAGCTGGTGATCATTTATTTTGGATTTTTCGAATTTGACTATCNNNATGATGTGTCACTGGAAAAATTGCTTACAAATGAGCATGATAGTGAGATAATAAAAAATTAGTTTTTTGATATTTCTGATTTTACGGAGGGAAAACTGCAATAACCAATGGCGCAGACTCTAGGCTAATGACTAGATAAGCCAAGCAGGGACATTCAGCAAACATTTATTTATTTAGACGATCAACAGTGAACAACCAAATGAATTATTCCAAATTTACTACTTTAATTAATTTGTCATTTGTTTTCCTTCCAGTTTTTCCCATTCATCTTTCTATATTACCAATTAATTAATTATCTTTTCCAGGAAGTCAGTGGTATGCCCACTTTATGTCGTCCAGTTGCTGAGGGTGGCGGTGGTTTTGACTATCGTTTGGCCATGGCAATCCCAGATAAATGGATAGAGGTAAGTCAGCATTCAATGTAGGGCTCATCATAATCAATTCTCGTTATCTACGTCAGTACAAGAGTCGTATTCGACTTGTTCTTATTTAAACTTGATAACTTTATTATCGCTGCACTTTGTCCTGAAGCAGGCAAAACATTGAATAAAAAACAGGCGATCAGAATTCACACTCGTTCGTTTGGTTTGTCCACGATAGCGGTTTTACTACTTGATAATTCAGTTCAGAAGGATAAAGGAATTCTGAAACTACGTTTCTAGCCTTCGATTGGATTGCCTAACCCCGTAAATGGCGAAACGGTGTTTTAGGTTTGTGCTCTATTATAAGTCAGTGTTTAATCGATTTGCCCATACGCCCACTCCGGGTTATGCTCTGTTGTCTAGGGTATTCATACTAGCGTTGGAGCTGGCACCATTAAACCTAGGTTATTGGATTTAGCTTTAGTATTCCTCTTTATTGCTTCAAAATTTGGGCTTCTGACTTTCAGTACGGTTGAAGGAAGGCGGTCGTTGCAAAAAGCTACTGGAAGAAGTTTCTCGAGCATTGTTTGAACTACAAGTCTCTAGAAGACTTCTCGTTTTTCTGGTTTAAGCAAGCGGTAAATCTGTAATTGTGTTTTTCTGTCTTCGAGTAGCTCGGTCAGCTAAAGAAAAGAGGCTAAATGAAAAGCTTCAAGCATCATAAGTACCGGTATATACTATATATCATTTAAGTAGAAGGTGAATGGCGGCGCATCCGCATGCAGCCATGTCAACAAATATTTCCAAATGCTCATTGGAAATTCGCAACTAAGAGACAGTAACCGAAACCACCGCACAAAACTGCAAATTGTGGGTTGTATAAACTAAATTAAAAGGAAATCTGAGATAAACATCTAGTGAATACTAAAATCCTCGCTCTGTAGTGCTTTAACACTTCAGCTTACGGTAGTAATACCAAAGAGAACCCTAATGTTTAGACCAAGCAGTCTAAACTATGCAGAAATGAGAATATCTGATTTTCATTTTTGAAAGGATTCTAGGATTACCTTATGTATCTTTGACCGATTAGCACGTTAATTTCTTAATATATTCCTTGTATATAATGACGCAGAAAAGGCTTACACGTTAGGCAGGAGTAAACTAAACATGATATTATGCAGTAGCAGTGTCCAATGTGGTTAATTGTCGAAAACTTGGCTGTTACTGTATGATAACCTTTTATATTTGGCTAAATTATTTTGTTACACACCTCAATGTAATAAGCAATAAAAAGGTTATGCCCCATAATAGCAAACTGTTACAAAACCTTGCTATTGAGATCCTGAAACCTGAACTGACGAACCACTGTATGTTTTCATAAGATGAACAATTTGGTCGATTGGAGCGACCTCTCTGAGTGCTGCCTTATTATTTAGGAAAGGAATTACTCCGGGTATCAAAATCTCTGTCTCAATCAAACTGTTTGGCATATTTAGGCAGGAAAACTGATAAACTGATTAGGCATGTTCAAAATATTGCGTGAAGGTCAAGAAAGAACACTAGACAGTTGTTTTCTACTTAGCGGGACTCATCAACGGCTTGTAATGTCATTGTTACCCTGCTAGAACTCGAACTAGATGGAGAGCCGAGACGGTTACCCTTGAGATACACTGTTGAAGATCAACAGTGGCGCACATACTGGGCTAGACTAAAAATGTTCTCGTCGTTTCTCGTGTGTGTTCACATATACTGTGTATTGCTGTTCTTTTGTCAGGTATTTTAAAATGATTTGGTGCGGAATCGGTGACACTGATTGAATCCATGCTTCCTGAATTTCCCCATTTTCTATTCGACTCTACTTTCAACTTTCTTGTCTTTCTTCTACTGTTCATCCAAATGAGCAGCCAAAAGACAGCACCCAAAACCGGCGCACGAAGGTGCATGGTTAATGGTTGTTCAGACTGAAACTGAGTTGAACCTCCTGTTCACAGTTTCCTCTTCACATACCTGGAAGGAAGTGCACAGAGAAAGTAAAAAATGTGATCTTTTGCTGTACGGTTATCAGAATTATTCGAGCGTTTAGCGGGAGACGTCAAAGAATCTGACCATGGTTTGTTTAATCCACACCCTGAACTCACGCGCATGACATATATAGGTATATATTGACTGTCGTATCTTTTAGTAGTAGAAATATTCTTTAGCTTATTAATTATCATCAATAATTTGCGAATACACTGTTGAATATTTCTCTTCCTAAAATACCAGTTATTGAAAAAAGTTCGGGATGATGATTGGAACATGGGGAACTTGGTTCATGCTCTGACCAATCGACGTTACGGTGAGGCTAACATCGCGTACGCCGAGTGTCATGATCAAGCGCTGGTCGGTGATAAGACTATCTCGTTCTGGTTGATGGATAAAGAAATGTATTGGCATATGAGCTGTACCAGCCCGCCAAACTTGATTATTGATCGTGGTATCGCATTGCACAAGTTGATCCGCTTCATCACTCACACACTGGGCGGTGAAGGCTATCTGAATTTTATGGGTGAGTTTTTGCATCACACTATTGCATTTAATAACTTATTGTGGTGGTTGGGTACACTACTGATAACAGCCCAAAAGAGCTCGCATTTCCTAATTATCCCCTTCATTGGCAGATGTAACTATCGATAATGTCTCTGCGAAATTAGCTAACTAAGTTCACTCTCCAGTCATCCACACTTATGATTCTGCTCTTAAAAGCAAGAAAATCGTCGGTATCTTATATTGTCCTTGCTAAGTTCGTATTTATATTTACGTGGCCTTGGCAAGTATGGCTGCTTACTTTTAAGTTTACTGTTTGCATACTAGCGTTCCTACT